ATGGTGGGGAATTTGAAAAGCTTGAATGCAAAGGGGTAGCCCTGGGAAAAGAAAAAAAAAGAGGGTCTGTAAACTTCTTTTAAGAAACTGATTCAAAGGCATTGTCATCATGTCATATAGTGATACTTGCTGCAAAATTTGCATAATGACTGCAATGTTATGCCATCGATAATTGATTTGAAAACAAGCTCTCTTTTCCTGTGGATTCTTTGGATCTCAAGCAGTAATACCTGTAGTCGTGTTATTTAATCATGAAACATTTTCAAACTCTAGTTGATTATCTCATGTTCTGTTCTGCAAACATGAAGATCAAGGGAAGATTACAAAACCGTTTTTTTTTGTTTTCTTCCCTATTTGGAAGGCACAAAGCGCCGTAAGGGTGATCCTCGCACTTGAAGTGCCCCATGGGTGTGAGGTGAAAAAACAACTGTCAGCTTTTCATACAGCAAATTCATTCTGACCAGGGGTTCAAATAACCATGGCAATGCAGCACTGGAATGGGTTCCTCACATATGCTGCAAATTTCAGGATTTAACAGTGATAAATTGCCACTGATCTTTTACTTATTGCCTTTTGCACAGTTCAGACAACTTTTACTGCACATTAGATCGTCTCCACGAGCTATTTAATGTAAACAGAGCTTTATGTGGGCAATGAAGGCAGGTAACTGTTTTTAATTATTCAAAGTAGTTGGTTTGTGAGTTACTGCGCAAACTAGCTCCCACGAAATGGCGAAACCACTTTTTGAAAAGTTTATGAGGTTGAATAAAGATGAATGTCTAAGTTCTTCTGCTTTTCCTTTGCTCGATACTTTAGAAAACTTCACTTAGTTACACTGAATGAATTTCTTTAGTTTCTTTTTCACCAGAACAAACAGCTGAAATATCAGGCTTTTTCCAAAGCCCATTGGCAGCACACCAAAATCATCTCTTCCTTTGAGAAGCAATTCCACAGCTCTCTTTTGCTCTGATTTCAAAACGAATCCTAAATCGCTGGCAAGCACATCCAAATCAACATCGTCCATTTTCCCATGAGAATACTGTTTTACTGTGAAACTGATATGGTGTCTGTATATCTTTTTGGTGAGGTGTGAGGAACATTTGATAACAGGCTGAATCAAAATTAAACCAATGGGAATTTTCCATTCCAAATTCTGGGGCTGTTGAGTATTTATATCTTCACACTATTGTTCTTACTCATCACTTATTCATAACAATGACCCTAGGGACTAAGATAAAGTCTGCTTGATTTATTTTGAAAATTCATGGAAAGGGAGTATCAGATAACATGAAACAGGAATTTGTTTTGAATAAAACTTGGGGGCTCTGAATCAAACTTTCAGTTGGCTTGTATAGGAAAAGAATCCTCAATGAAATCTCTCTTTAGACCTCCTAGAATGCCTCCAATTAAACAGTACTGTTCAGAGGAAAAGTTTGAATCCATAAAAGTGTCCTAGACTTAAACCAGTGGTTGATAAATAACCCTGATGCATTGGAACCTGGTTTTGCATCAATTAACAATGGCTGCTGCTTGACAAAAACAATTCTAATTCTGGCATCCTGTGATCAAAACAAATCATTCTTTTAAAAGCTCTCAATATGATCTGTATTCGTAGTTACATAAGCTAAAGCTACATACATCGCGAAGAAGCCAAATTCATAAAATGTGTATAGTGATTACTTCAAGTTTATTCAAACATCGCAAACAAAAGGATATTTTCACATGTCCTTTGCTCGTGGTTGCTTTTATTCTGTACTCTATTACTCAAAGGCTTTTGAAGTTGCTTGAGCATTGTTGAGGTTTCCTTCCAAAATATTTTCAAGCTCTATAAAGCTAAACTTATTCGAGATGTTTTCAGATGCCACGAAAAGCAATGCCCAAAGGAGTAATCCGAGCCTTCAGGGTACAGCATCCAGCAGTTTAAGCCATTTCAGCAAGACACTGAAAGGGGCGTGAAGTTGTAATGTAGGGAGTGAGGGCAGAGGTGATAATGACAAGGTGGTGACATAGAAGAGGGGAATAAAAGGCATTCTTTTCCCCAAAGAAGTCCACAGATGTTTCATTTTTTGCATCTGCTTAGTATTGGGATTTTCCATTTTTTTATATGTGCGCTCCCTATGGAGGGAAAGATTGCAACACTGTAGTTTTTTGTTGTTTTCCATCCACAAGGTTCAAAATTTTGCTGGCTTCTTTGAAAAAGTATTTGGGTAGGCCAGTGCAAGAGATTGCCGTCCATAGGGATGGGGCTGGTGCGGATATACTTCTGACAAACGAAATTCAAGATCTGTAATATAGGTTACGGGCCATACATGTTAATCAGAGGGAAAAAAGAAGGATCTGTAAGTTACAGTATGACCAAAGAAGACTAGGTTTGTGTGATATCTCTACTCTATGTCTGACAAGTTTGGAAAATGATTACTAGTCAAGTGGAATACCTTCAAATGACTCAACAGATGCATGTCAAAAGCAAAACAATCAATTCAAAGGAAAACTCAATTGTACTCCAAGCTGCAACCATTTTGGTCACCATGGCAAGTGAAAAACACATTTGGAGACTAAATTGTCCAAACAGGTTGTGAATTTGGCAATTAGTACAGTATGAAAGGATGAATACTTATCAACTAAGTGTTTTGTATTACAACCACTAAGCCAAATGAATTTAACCACAATTTTTTCATGTTTGTCTTCCTCATCTGAATAGTATCTTTATAAGAAGTAATTATTTCTACTCAGTGTCATATTCCTGTATATAGCATATAAGTAACATTAGATATAATTCTGGTTGCCTGAATTTGACTGGTAGAGCCTTTGATTAAAATTGCATACAGACGTAGATGTGGTCCATTGCTTTTGTTTGTGACTTTCTTGACTGAAATTTGAGTTCAGCCAGTGAATTTTAGAATTCTTTGTGGTACTTATGGTACTTCCATGAATTTTACCCCCAAAAAACTTCATTTGCTAAGTGAAAGATAGAATCTTCTACCCTGGGACATGATTTTCTTTGGATCACCCAGGCCTTTATTCTGCAGGAATTAAAGTGTATGATTTTTATAGTGTGTTCAATGAGTGGTGTCTTTTCTTGTTTCAGTTTCGCAATTTCAAGATTGTATATCGTCGTTATGCTGGACTGTACTTCTGTTTCTGTGTGGATGTGCATGATAACAACTTGTATTACCTAGAGGCCATTCATAATTTTGTGGAGGTGAGAACCAGGAATATTTCTTCTTCCAGAATGATAATTTATTGTACTTGAAATGTTTACTTTTCTCAAATACCACTGTTAGCCATGCCAGGCTGACTGCCTAAGGTCACATGACCTATTTCCAGGCCCCATTGGTGCATGAGAAAAATATTTTCCCTTATTTTGTTTCACTCAGCAAGTGGAAAATTACACTTAGTACAAGTTTCATTCTGAAGATTATATTTCACCAAAGAAAGTTCTATTGGGATCAAGTCAGGGAGAGAACAGAAATCCAAAAAATCTGTGTTACACAATGCACATATTTCTACACCTTTATCTTTCCAGTGATTGCCTTCTCACCTGTAGCAATTCAACTCCCAGATACTTACATTTAAAAGCAAACTCCAACCAAATGCAATAACACTAAGCAAAAGCTCAGAAGTACGCATTGTGGACCTTTTTCAGATTTGCTCCCCAACTACTCATGTCACTATTTTCCTTTTGTACATTTCAAGGCTTCAAAGCATTGAAGAAGATCATTCCAAGTTGTTTTTCAGGGTTCAGTCATTCGGGCGTAGTTTCACTGTTTATTTCGCGTTAATTGGCTGAAGTTTTGTTTCTTTAAAGGTGTATGAAACTTGGATTTCAATCACATAATTGATAAGTTCATTGTTTTCTGGAATCAACTTGGGTGTGTGTTGTTTATTCGAACAAAAACGCTCTTTCATTGTCAATTGCAACCAAATTATGTGTTAACAGTCTGAGCCAAAGGAGCTCAAATCGAACCAATGCATGTTGTGAGTACATTGTAGAGTTCTGAAATAGAAAGAAACTTCAAACCTAGATATGCGGCAGCTGTGAAGTCTTTTCAAAAAACTACATACCCGGCAGTCTGAAATTATTATAGATATTCCACAGAACAACTCATTTAATTTTTATTAGAACAGTAGATGTTTGTTTCGCAATGTCACGTGATTCTAAGTGTTATTTTGGCTTTGTAGTTGAGGAAATTTTCAAGCTTGGGCATACTATAAAATCTCAACATTTCAATCAACACTTAAATAATTTTCAAGCTCTGACTCCAGAGTAGCCTGTGAACGTAGACCTATTTCAGCCAGCAATACAACTACATACATTCATAGGATAACTCCAAAGTCAAGGCTTAAAGAATAGTATCTTAAAATATTACAATAGAAACCCTCTGAGAGTGCTCAATATTTGCTCAGATATGCGAAGCAATTCTAAATAATGTTTTGGTTTTGTAGTGGACAAATTCTCTCAGCTTCGGCATACTATAAAAATCTTGGCTCAAGGTCATGGGCTTGGTCGTTCAAAAAAACGGCTAGATACCGGTATTAGGAAAAATGCTTTGTAAATGTTTTTTGTTTTGGTTCAGATAATCAGTTGCCTAGATAGTCAAAGTAAGTTCCAGATGTTTACACTATTTTCCGGCTGCCATATTAGAGGACTTAAGAGGTCCTCCAACATGGCGGCCCCATACTAGGCTCTATAATTTTGCATGGAACATTTCAACGAATATCTCAACTTTGGGACAACGCACACACCTTAAACTTGGAGAAATGTCTTCTTTATTTATCATCTATAATATCACAATTTCTTGACTTTATCCACTGAATGGTTTTTGATTTTATGTTTTATTGCGTGACAATGTACACACTCTATAGTCAAGTACTTCATGGTTTAAAATTTTTTGACTGACGGGTATCTAGTTTTTTAAACAACAATGCCTATGAGTCAAGATTTTTATAGTATGCCAAAGCTAAGAGAATTCGTCCACTGCAAAACCGAAAAACATCATTTAGAATTGCGTAGCATTTCTGAACAAATATCTACAACAAGAAAGTTGTGCTGTACTTTTATAAGAAATAGGACTTCCTTCTCAAATTCCCCTAGTTTACAATTTCTCATATTTTAATACATTTCAAACAATTTGTATTCTACAGAAAATCAAATTCCATGTCTGTTCTTTCTTTGGCAACAATTTATTACATCTACAAGTGTATATAAAATACTTGCTAAACAAGATGATTATCCTCATCAACAATGGTTCATTCACTCATTGGCATTTACCCTTAGGTACAACTAGGATGATAATAAAATTAGGCAAGGCTTAATTCTTACAGCTTACATGGTTAACTACAGAGTTTAACACCAAATAAAAACTGGTTTAACCAATGATGCATGCACATGCTTGTGTTTCTTCACCATCATATCCATCTATTATGGTTAGTTGCATTGTTAAATGTGACCACTGAGTGACTTTTGAAGAAGCAGAACTAATTTAACATGTTTCTCTCCCTTTTCCAGGTCTTGAATGAGTTTTTTCACAATGTCTGTGAATTGGATTTGGTGTTTAACTTTTACAAGGTAAAACAGATGCTTTTTTCTCCTTAACCTTAACCTGGTCAAATGATGCATGATGGTTGATGATAGGTGATGGTGGTCAGTGAAAGTTCAAGCTCATGCCCAGGCCTACTGTGTTACCTTGAATTAAATCACCTAAAGATGCCTTAAGGCTTATGCAACTTTATGTGGCCCTAGAAGGATAAACAAAAATATCCTTCTAAGTTGTCTGCCTTGAGATTATAGACCTGTCCTCCATACTCCCACTGTGGTTGTAAAATACATAGCCTGGAGGGCTGAGAACTCTGCACCTCACTTTTGAACACCTCTGGATATGTCACTGATATCTCTCACCACATGTTCATTTCATTCCCCTGTG